CACTGCTCTCTGCTCTGCACTGCTCTCTGCACTGCTCTCTGCTCTGCTCTGCTCTGCACTGCTCTCTGCTCTGCTCTGCTCTCTGCCCTGCTCTGCTCTGCTCTCTGTTCTGCATTCCTCTCTGCTCTGCACTGCTCTCTGCTCTGCACTGCTCTCTGCACTGCTCTCTGCTCTCTGCACTGCTCTCTGCTCTGCTCTCTGCTCTGCACTGCTCTCTGCACTGCTCTCTGCTCTGCACTGCTCTCTGCACTGCTCTCTGCTCTGCACTACTCTGCTCTCTGCTCTGCTCTCTGCACTGCTCTCTGCTCTGCACTACTCTGCTCTCTGCTCTGCTCTCTGCACTGCTCTCTGCACTGCTCTCTGCTCTGCTCTCTGCACTGCTCTCTGCTCTGCACTGCACTGCTCTCTGCTCTACTAAATAATCTTTTCAGCCCCTCCTAAACTATTTTTAAAATAAAAATGTAATATAGTAAATATTCATCATGTGTATGGTAGGGTACTTCTGTTATTTCAGCACTCTGGAAAAGAGGCAAAACGTCAGCTTGAGTTTAAGGTCAATCTAGGCTACAAATGAATTCTAGACCAGCCCTGTAAGCATTCTCTGTACTACTCCAACTTTATTATGTTGTGTTTAAGTATGCACTAAACAACTATTACTGGACAGCTAATGCTTGAAATACAAAGCCACTGCCTTTACACCTTCTACCAACAGAGGGTGCTACTGGTATAGGAAAGCTGGTCAGTGCTACCACCTATCTCTTCACTTACTTACTCATAGCTCAAAGTTCCAAGGAGGTAGCTCACATTTGCTTCAAAAAACTATTGCTATTCAAAGGCCAGAAAAAAAACAAAACACAACAAAAGGCCAGACAATACCTGTACACATTCAAGCTCTCAGGCGGGGCAGCATCCAAACTGACAGGGCTGCTGCTGTTCCTCTCGCTGCTCTCATAGCCAGATTCCATCCGCTGGATTAGACGAGGATGCTGCTCTAATAGATGAGGGCCTGGTCGGGTTGTTCCCCAGAATTTATGCTGTAAGCTTGGTCCACCATCTTTAATGTTGTTAGTAGTTGGCTTGTTTACTTCATCTGGTGTAAATTCTTTAGCTACCCGAATCAAACAACAAGTTGAAGTAGATTTACTGTTTGCTTAAATTAAAATCTAACCCTCTAGACATTATTCACTGGAGTCACATCTTTAATAAACATGACCTTTAGAGTAAAAATGTTCCTTGCCAGCTATACTAAAAAACACAAGATTTTAAAACACATAATCAATTGTATTTGAAAGCCCACTTGTTCCCGTATTCTCTGCTCACCTGCTTCTTCAGGAAAGGTCCTAAGCTGGGTGTAGCCACAATGCTTCCTTTTGTCCTTACTAAAAATGCTGTCGATATTCAGAGATTCTCGTTTAGGTCTCCATGTTGGGCGGTACTTGCTGGAAGAACTGGATTTTGCCTCACTACTGGTACTCTCCGTTTCCCAGCCCCGAGAGTGTAAAGGTAGGTGTCTTGGTGGTGTCTTGTCTGGCTGGTCTCCTGCCCTGCCTACACAAGGAGATCCTGCATTGGTCTGAGAAGCCAAGGAAGGCCTGCTGTGGATCATATTGCTGACTGTCTCTTTGAAATCCTTTAGCCTGCTGGTGCTGCTGGATTTGGAGGCATTCCTAGGAGCCTGTTTCTCTTTCAGTGTTTCTCCTAAAAATCAGAGAGAATAAAACAAATGAAGATGTTTAAAATAATCACAAATGTCCTCATCCTAGAGAAAGTAAGGAAAATCCATTTGGAAAGAAAATCAGAGGCCAGGCAGTGGTGGTACACGCCTTTGATTCCAGCACTTGGTAGGCAGAGGCAGGCGGATTTCTGAGTTCGAGAGTTCGAGGCTAGCCTGGTCTACAGAGTGAGTTCCAGGACAGCCCGGGCTACACAGAGAAACCCTGTATCGAAAAAAAACAAAAAAAACAAAAAACAAAACAAAACAAAAAAAACAGAAGTTTAACAGAGGAAATAGGAGTGCAGATGGCTTGCCTTCACTGTGGTACCCTGAAGCCTGTGGCTCTTCGCCTTTCCTCCGAACACGGCCAGAGCTCCTCCTTCGATCTACCAGGGACCCTTTCTTCGATGTGTGTTTCTGATTACATTCACTATCAGTCAGGTGTCCTGAAAGAACAAGGAAACAGGAGTAAGCTGCTTTCTGCAACTAACTCCTACCCTCCTGAGAACCCATTCTCCCTTTGGGACTTATAACAGTGCCACAAACTTATTATATACATGGATTAGAAACTGTAGGGGTCAGAACCATCTGACCCCGAGGAGTTAGGGGCGTCTGTCAAATCTATAACATATCCTGAACAATCATCAGTCTCAAACAACACTCATCATATTTCCGAGTTGACCTAAGAAGAACCAAAGCTGCTGATTAATAACTTCTCTTTGTTCCTATGGTGTTGAGGAACCAATCCCCTGCAAGAACAAATAGGCACTGAGCTCCATCTCCAGAGCTTGGTAATTTTTAAAGGCAAAAGAAACAATTTTTAAAAACTAATCTAGCTGGGCGGTGGTGGTGCACACCTTTAATCCCAGCACTTGGGAGGCAGAGGCAGGCAGATTTCTGAGTTCAAGGCCAGCCTGGTCTACAGAGTGAGTTCCATGACAGCCTGGGCTACACAGAGAAACCCTGTCTCGAAAAACCAAAAAAAAAAAAAAACCTAATCTAAAAATGTCATAAGACCATATTTTTAATTCTTTCTTCCATTTTTCTTTCTTCCTTTTTTTAAAATTTGAGGTGAGTGAGTTTTATTTTATTTTATTTTATTTTATTGAGGCAGATTTTTGTTAGGGTGTTGTTTTTATTTTATATTGTCCAGGCTGGCCCCAACTCACAATAATTCTCCTGCCTCAGTCTCTTGAGTACTGAGATTACAGGCATGCATTACTATTACCTCTCAATCTCATAAACTGAAAACAGAATTTGCTTCTACTTATTTGGCAACAGTTCTCACTATGGTGGCTTCAGGACACAGTTCTAAATCCTCTTTAAGTGTGAATTTTAAAATACATTTCAATGTTCATTAATTCTCCTCTCCAACCTATGCTTCATCAAATCTGACTTGACTCAAATATTGTAATTCATAATTCTTTATCAGTAATCATTGAGAAACAACAAGGGAGCTTTTTATTTTGTGTAATTTTCCCACCAACCTGCCCACAGTATGCAAATGTATAATTCTCCTCACTCCAAACATAACATATGTACATCACTCCCTCCCAGGAGTTGCTTCTCTCTGGCCCACAATTCCAGAAAGATAGCCCCTAAAAAACAATTGCATGGATCACCATCTATACAGCAGTCTTCAAGAGAAACCCAATGAGTCCAGCCAAACTTCTAGGTCCATAAACCTGGCATCATCATCTTTGTTTCAAGGCTATTAAAAATTATTCTTCCCTGGAAAATGGGGGAGAATCTTTAACATGCCTTTAAACTCAACATTCAGTAGGCAGACACAAGCAGAAATCTTTGAGACCAGCCTAGTCTACAGAGCTAGTTCCAAGATAGTCAGGGGTACAAAGAGAAAATCTGTCTCAAAACAAAACAAAAACCAGGATGGAGGAAAATGTTCAAGTACCATAAGGATGATGTCAGCAAAACTCAGAACCTGGGAAATACACAAGTTAAATTACCTAGTTTTGAACCATAAATTGCAAGGGAAAAGTGGAAGGAAAAAAAAACCTATTCAGTGGCATTCACCTGTAGTCAACCAATGGAGACACTGAGGAAGAAGGACCACACGAGCTCAGGAGTTTCAGAACTGCCTAGGCAACATATCAAGACCCTATCTCAAAATTTTAAAAAATAAACAAATAAATAAAGCCAGGTGTATTATAAACACAGCTGTAATGCCAGCATATGGGAGGCTGCAGCTAGGGCATCTTGAATATGAAACTCATCTATGATATAAAACAAGATTTTGTCAAGAAATGTAAGAAACAAAAATAAATAAGTAAATTAAGAAGTAACCACCAGGCAGTGGTGATGCACGCCTTTGATCCCAGCACTTGGGAGGCAGAGACAAGCGGATTTCTGAGTTCGAGAGTTCGAGGCTAGTCTGGTCTATAGAGTGAGTTCCAGGACAGCCAGGGCTACACACAGAGAAACCCTGTCTCGAAAAACCAAAACCAAAACCAAAAAAAAAAAAAAAAAAAAAAAAAAGATCCCAGCACTTGGGAGGCAGAGGCAGGTGGATTTCTGAGTTCAAGGCCAGCCTGGTCTACAGAGTGAGTTCCAGGACAGCCAGCACTATACAGAAAAACCCTGTCTCAAAAAAAAAAAAAAAAAAAAAAAAAAAGTAACCTAAAATGGCTTATAACTATCTGTAACTCCAGTTCCAGGGGATCTGACACCCTCTTCTGACCACTAAGAGCACCAGGAACATACATACATGGTACACATACATCCATGTAGGCAAAACACTCATACACATAAAATTTATTTATTTGTATTTTATCTGCATTGGTTTTTGTGCCCGCATGTTTGTCTGTGTGAGGGTGTCAGATCCCCTAAAACTGGAGTTACAAACAAGTGTGAGTTACTATATGCATGCTGGGAATTGAGCCTAGGTTCTTTGGAAGAGCAGACAATGCTCTTCATCACTGAGCCATCTCCTCAGCCCAATAAAATAAATCTTTAAAAAAATTATGAAATAACAGAAGACTCATCAAAATGTATGGATCTCTTTTGATTTTGCGAAAAACACACAAACCAGTAAAGACAGCACATGCAATAGCAAATCACTCACTGGTTTTCAGCAACTGTAAGCAGAATTACCTTCCTTTTGTTCCCAGGCAGGAATCAAACAGAGACTCACATATATTAAGCAAACACTGAACTACATCCCCTGCCTTCATTACTGTTTTTAAATGTTTACAAATGAGTTATATTTTTGTAGTATATATAAAAATATCTATGAAAGTAGTAATATAATGTCTTGGATGTGCTTCAAAATAATTGAGGAGTAAAAGACATCAGTAAAAGTACAGGTAAAATTTTATTGGTCTTGGGTTACAGTTATTGAAACTAGGTGATAAATACATGTGGGCAGGCATTCTGTTATTATAGAGGGAACTGAAGGAATGGCCAGTAGTTAATAGCACTGACTACTCTCCCAGAAGACTTGCATTCAATTCCTAGTAACCAATGGCAGCTCACAACTGTCTGTAGCTCCAGCTTCAGGGGACCCAATGACCTCTTTTGGTCTCTGTAAGTACTAGGCACACATATGGTACACTGATATGCACACAGGAAAAACACCCATCCATATAAAATTTTTTTAAAAAAGAAAAAAAAGAACCATGAAGAGTATAAAGCATTGATCTGAAGCCATGAGCTTCACCATCCTCCCAGTCCTTAGGGAACCAGACACTACTTCATGCCTCAGCTGGGCTATTTCTCATAACTTCTCATTTCAGTAGTCACTCAACATTCTTCCTTCTGTATCCTGTAATGACTTCTTTCACTGATGTAAGCACAGAATGAGAAAAAAAAAAAACATTTAAGAATTCTTATGTTGCGGGGCAGTGGTGGCACACACCTTTAATCCCAGCACTTGGGAGGCAGAAGCAGGCGGATTTCTGAGTTCAAGGCCAGCCTGGTCTACAGAGTGAGTTCCAGGACAGCTAGGGCTACACAGAGAAACCCTGTCTTGAAAAACAACCAAAAAAAAAAAAAAAAGAATTCTTATGTAAGGAATGTACAATTTGCATCTCTGTCCTTCAAAAACCTTGCATTGGGTTAAGTAGGTATTCAGCACCCATAAGTACGCCTTCTCTTGAACCCCTTCATTCAAAACTATGGCATGAAACATGACCAGGTAAAAGACAAGGCAAAAGGTGCTTAATGAGATATTATGGAATCAAAAGAATATCAGGACAAAGGTAGACTTTACATCGACAATCATATCGCATGCTGATATACTGATATACTGCTATGTATACAGCATTATTACTCATTCAGGTCGATCTTATTTTTTGTACCCTACTCAATTACCCAAATTCTGTTATCTTTCTGCCTTGCATAGCATTTCCTACTTGCCCCAGTTTCTTTTTCTTCGGAGACTTTCTATGTAGGAACTGAATCAGACCAGCAGGGTTCTATGTGTAAGTCCCTACCTGTGTCCCGACTGCTCTGAGACATGGAGTCATTCTCCACATTATAGATGACTGTCCCCTGAGAATCGGAAGAGAAGTGACTGACCACAGACTCATGGTGAGAATGTTTGTAGAGATAGCTCTCCGTTGAGGAATCTGTTCGAGTGTCACTTGAGATGGAAGGCTCCCTCCCTGAAGGAAGGGGGAGATACATACACAAAAGTAAGGAAAGAAAGAACAGTGACAGCCCTGAGGAAAGGAGATAGATGCAACAAAGACCCATAAGCAAGAACTTCCTAGAAGGAAGGGTGAGAAGAATACACCACAGAGCCATTCTTCCCAACACCCGTCTTCCAGGTAATCCAGACACACATACAATTCCTCCCACCCCTGTCCCTACCTTGCTGAAGCCCTCACTTTGCCTGCCACTGTGAAAAACTGTGGGGTTTTTAGAAAACCTATGGGGGAAAGTGAAGAAATGAAAAAGTTGTGAGATGTAAGCTCTACAGAGATGAAAGCCCCAGGCCAACCTGCCACACATGCCAGCTGGCCACCTGTCTTAGAAGCTCTCTCCTACACTGTCACACACGTTGCTTTAAAAACTTGACATGCACATTTTTAGTATCTTTGAAAAGTTATGGGGCAGTTATTCACTCTTTACTGTGAATATGCCCAACAGAAAGCTTTTCCTGGACCCTTAGCTAAAATAAACACAACAGACAAACAAGCACTTGACTGAAGGAAGAAATAGGGCAGGCCTGGGTAAGGTACAAAGCAGGAAGAGCAGTTGGACCTGGTATAAGCATAGAATTCAAGAGGCTGAGGCAGGAGATCACCATGAAATAGAGGCCAACCTACTACACAGTGAGTTCTAGGCTGGTCTGTGCTACACAGTGAGGTTCTGTCTCAAAGAACAAACTAAATCAAAATAAAACAGCAGGAAGAAACACGGCAGACCAGACAGGAAGGAGTGGATGCAGTGGAAGAGGAAAGATAATGGAGCAAGTACCTTCTCTTTCAAAACTATACTAAGGGCCGACCATGTATCTTTACAGAAATCAAACCCAAACTAAGAGGGGTATAGTTCAATATTATCAGCCTCTATGGGATATACTGGGACGTTAGTCATTAAGCCCAATGTTACTTCTATAGGAAGGCATCATGTAATTCCAGACAGTTGGATTATACTGGAACAAGTGATTCATACACGGAGGACCATCATTTCTGCATCTGGAATTTAAACAAAACTTTTCCACCTCCAAGAATAAGTACTGTAGTGATGTAGTGTTTCTTAACAATTCACTTAAGCCAGGGACTGCTGTGATGGCTCAGTGGTTAGGAGCACTTTCTGCTCTTGCAGAGAACTTGGGGTTCAGTTTCCAACACCCACATGGTAGATCATAACCATCTATAATTCCAGTTCCAGAGGATTCAATGAGCTTTTCTGGATCCTGTAGACACCAGGCATAAACACAGTGCAACATACATACAGGCAACACACTCAAACACGTAAAATAAAATAAATATATATCTTTTTCAGAATTCCCTTAAGCCATTGTAATACTGCTAATAGGAATCAATAACCGTTAAGAATGTTCAAGGCTACTGAGGCATCCCTTATAATCTTATTTTAGTATCTCTATGCAAACAAACATAGTTGCCTTCTCACTTTTGATATGGGCCAGCTGATTTGAGTAACACACTCTTGAAAGCTCAAGAAAACAAAACTGGATGCTAATCAGCTTGAGTACAAGTTAGTATTTCTTTCTTACTGTAATAGTTCCTCTTTCTCCTAGCTACAAGCTAACCCTGTGTATGAGACTCAACCATTTGACTATATGCGGTGGAGGAAGAACTAGGCTGCTCACCTGAGTCTTCACTATCGTAGCATGTCTTGGTGTATGACAGGAACTGAGCGTGGGGAGGCAGGTCCTGGGCAGACACTGGAGTACCCTGGGGATCTGCATAGAGCAGCAGCAAGGGCTGATAATGCCCTTTAATGCATTTGGTGACCACATCCTTCCACTTTGGACCAATCTGAACCACAAACACCAGAAGAACATGACAATAAAATTCATATTCACAATTCAAAACACAATTCCTTTCCTAATGTAGTTGTCTTAGAATTAGATAGAAAAAAAGAAAACAAAAAAAGATCTGAAATCTAAACTTACTGACTTCCTATTAAACCTTTTTTTTTTTTTTACAAAAAAAAAGGCATTTAAAATAGTATCAGAGCAAAGAACAATGAATGTAAATAGTTTTATTTCTGTGAAACATCAATTCAGTTTGGAAATATATATAAAACCTCACAAAGGTGGAAATGCTATGTGTGGTCTAAGTTGCTTTGGTGATCAACTTCTTTTCACAGACATTAGATTTGAGGGCTCAGTTCCAATTTTTTTTCTTTTTTTTTTGGCTTTTTCGAGACAGGGTTTCTCTGTGTAGCTCTGGCTGTCCTGGAACTCACTCTGTAGCTTAGGCTAGCCTCAAACTCTTGAACTCAGAAATCCGCCTGCCTCTGCCTCCCAAGTGCTGGGATTAAAGGCATGCGCCACCACCGCCCGGCTTAGTTCCAATTTTCATCTCCACGATTTTCTCCTAAATATTAAAATCACCTTAACAAATTTGAAAGGCAAAATAGGAACTGTCTTGCAGAGGGCCTTAGAAGAAACGATATTCAATTTCAGACTTCAAACCTAGCAGGATATAAAATGTCAAACTGCCTAGGACATACATACAGTTTGAACTTCTCACTCTTAGCCTTGGGATAGATTCAGCTCAGCTATCACAGAGGAAGAGTAATGTAACAGCCATAGAAACAACAATTTACCAACTCTTTTTTTTTTTTCCTTCAGAGCTGAGGACCAAACCTAGGTCCTTGTACTTGCTAGGCAAGCACTCTACCAGTGAGCTAAATCCCCAACCCCTATCAACTCTTTAGACTTATCCCATCTTAAGTGTGAACCAGACATTTTTGGGTATAAGCTATGGGTTGCCAGTTAGATAGCTAGTATGATAGTTTACTCATAATAGACATTTAGTAAACTTAAAGTGTTGTCATTATTTTAATTGAATCATAATTTATGTTTTCAAATATCAATCTTAATATTTTGTAAGAATACTTTTCAGGTTTAAAAAAAAACTAATGCTCAAATAGTTTGTTATCCCCTAAAGAAGAATATGGGAAATTGACAAAGCTTTATTAATGAAAGATTTTACTTCAACTCTACAGATTGATATGGTCTGCAGTCTTCATAGCTGCTGATTTTATGACTAGAAGCTTCCCAATTGATGCAGACACCTACAACATTTTATCCATCTAGTCTGCTTTAGACAAGACCAAGTTTCCTGCTGTAAGTATCACTGTAACCCCATGTTTCATATCTATCCAAAAACATGTTAATATCTGATGAGTCATTACAGGGAAATGAGATGGAAAGGATGAATCTTTTTTGTTTGTTTTCTGAGACAAGGTTTCTCTGTGTAGCTCTGGCTGTGCTGGAACTCACTCTGTAGACAAGGTAGGCCTAGAACTCACAGAGATACACCTGTCTCTACCTCTGCCTCCTGAGTGCTGGGATTAAAGGCATATACCACCACTGCCCAGCAAAGAATAATTTTTAATAGCCTTGAAACAAAGTATCACCTATGGATAATGCTAGGTTTAAAATCCTCAACTCTGTGTTAACCAAATAATCTAATTAGTTGTATTACATGTTCACATTCAAATCAACCACTTAATAATGATGATTTCTCAACTATAAAAACAGAACTAGGGCTGGAGAGATGGCTCAGCAGTTAAGAGCACTGACTTCTCTTCCAGAGGTCCTGAGTTCAATTCCCAGCAACCACATGGTGGCTCACAACCATCTGTAATGGGATCTGATGCCCTCTTCTGGTGTGTCTGAAGACAGCGACAGTGTACTCACATATATGAAATAAATAAATTAATAAATCTTAAAAACAAAAAACTATAATGAATGCCTAGAGAGGAGACTGAGAAAATAAAACATATCTTGTTCTTATCTATTATAGAATTTAAAATTAAAGCAGTTACATTTAGCAGATAAAGGCCAGGCATGTAATAGCTCTTATCTGTAATTGGTGGGGGGGGCCCTAAGAAAAGAGGACTTCTAAAAGTTTGAGGACAGCCTGGACTACATTGCCATTTCCAGGCCAGCCTGGACTACAGATCAGGACCCTGATTCAGAAAAATAACACACTAGGGGTTGGAGAGATGGTTCGGCAGTTAAGACTACTTATTGTTCTCATAGAGGACAGGAGTTCAGTTCCCACCACGCATGTCTCACAAACACCTGTAACTTCAGACCCAGGGAGAGCTGACTCCTCTGGACTCTGTGGGTACTTGCACTCACATGCACATACCCACATAAGTAGGCAAGCATAAATGTGCATATACACACACAAACATGGCTTTAAAAATAATAAAATTAAATATTTTTTTAGAAAACTAAGAACAACCAATACAGTCACAAAGTAGTATGCCTTACCAACATTGTAGAGTAACCATTCAAAATTATCAAAATAAAAACTGAAGACAAATAAATATGATTTTATTTTTATTTCAGTTACCAAACACTTCAAGATCCTTGCATATGCCTACCTCCTTGACATGAGCATCATCAAAATACATCCATTTTCGGATCTTTGTTTGAAAAAAGAATGTAGAGTAATGCTTGCCATAGTAACAGATCATTCCTACTAAGTATAGTTCAGACTGCTTGGCCCGGTCATCTGTCACTCTGAAAAACAGCTACGGGAAGGAAAAAGAGAGAAGGGGAAGATCCATCAGACAGTCCACCATCTAACATAACCCTCCAGCAGACTCCACCAACATTTCTCTCACCTTCCCCCAAACCAAACCAAACCAAACCACACTATATAGCCCCTGCTGGAGGTGCTCCCGTTATGTAGGCCAGTCTGGCCACAAACACATGGTGATGCTTAAGCCCCAGCCTTCTGAGTGCTGAGACTATAGGCATGCACTACCACACCTAGCTCTTCCATCAACATTTGTTGTTTTATAGAGACACAGCCTCATGTAACCCAGACTGGCTTTGAACTCACTGTATAGCTACAGATGACTGAACTCCTGATCCTCTACCTCTGTTTCTCAACTGCTGGATTACAGATGTGTACTACCATGTCCAGTGGCCTCCAATATTTCTTAATGATGGTAGCAATTTGCTTCTCCCCTCAAGCTAAAATATTTTTGCTAGTCCTGATTATTCATTAGAAATGAACTAAAAATGTACATATTGTGGCACATGCCTATAATCCTAACACTTAGAGGCTAAGGCGAGAGGATTGTAAGCCTTAAGTTAGCCTGTGCAATATGATGAGTCAATATTTTCTTTCAGGGGCATAAAAGCCAGAACAATTTCAAAACAAACTAAAACCAGCTGTCAAGCTTCAATGTTTTTCAATTTCTAGGTACTCAGGTCTGTCTCAAGTGTTAAGAGACAGAAATACTTGAGTTAAGAGATTCTGACCTAAAAAGTTACCTAGTTGAGAAAATAATCAAAATAATTAAGTCAAAATCAGGCAATAATAGAACGCACCTGTTATCCTTTGTCCTTTATGTAAAGGCTAAAGGGGGTAGAGGGACAAGGGGTTCAAGGGTAAACAAGGCTATATACCTCACTGTTGTCCATCTTGGAGTATATGAGATTCTGACTCCAAGCCAGAATATTCAATAAATAGAATAAAAAAAGACTATTTTTAAGATGTTGGTGTGCACAACCTATTCCAATTAGATTCCTTGAGGAGGCCCAAAATATGACCCCCAGACAATTCATTTATTCTCAAGAGTGGCTATTTTAAACAAGAACAGACTCTCCTTAGTCACAGGACTGTCCCAGACAGAAACCAGCACAAAGGAAACAGGACTTTCTGGTTCTTATTGAATGGAAGGAAAACACTGGCTGTCCCTACCTTAGGACATGGAGTTAATAAGAATGGGACCTATTCTCAGATTTTTTCCCCATTCCCCAAAATAAATATATTTTTTTAAAAAAACCCTAAAATACTAAATTACCATCTAATTTATTTCATTACTGCCTTGTCCTGTTGAGGATTTGTCTTTTATTATCTATCATAATGCAAAGCGCAGGCCCCCAAGACCAGGAGTCTACACTTAACCACTGTGATGCCAAGTTAATTCTGATTGGTAAACAAAGATGCTGACAGCCAATAGCTGAGCAGAAGAGACGTAGGTGGGGTTTAGGTTCCACAGACTTGGTGGTGGTGGTGGTGGTGGGATATGAAGGAGGAAGAAGAGGAAGAGGAAGGTGGAGGTGTAGACAGAAGAGGGAGGAGGAAGAAGAGGAGGAGAGAGGAAGAAGAAGAAGGAGGAGGAGATGGGCAGGAGAGGAGGAAGGAGAAGCCGCCATGGGTTAAGGATCAAGGGAGCATGGCCCTGAGGGATGCCCAATTGGAGCTAAGAGCTATCCTGATTTAAATAATATACAACAAGGTCCTAACCCCACAAAATGGTAACCTGGGCTCAGCTCAAGCTGTACTCTGCCCTAGTAATACTCAGCATTCCTCAGGAACCTTGTAAAGTGAATTTCTGCTTGTCAGGAGAAAGCCATTACATTCCTGTCCATTCCTACAGACCTTCAATCTCCAGAGAGGGCACCTAGTTCTCTATTAACTTGAACAAGCTTCCCACAGGTCAGAGCTCCATGCTAGTTCCCAAGCTGTTCCAGCTATCAGGCCCTCCTCCTGCTACAACATAACCCCTTAGAACTGGCAGACTTTCCCACTATTTTTGCTATCTTCTCTGTTCCCACAGCCCTGGCAATTGCCAGTCTGCCTCTCTCCTTGCCTTTTCTCTCTGTTCCTCTCTGTCCTAGAGGAAGCCAAGGCAGACTCCCCCAGATCCTGCTTGCCAGTCCCCCTCCCACCTTCTACCATAAAAACCTCACCCCTCACAAGGCAGTGGCCTTGTTGGTGGTTTCTTTTTTTTTTTTTTAATTTTTATTTTTTTATTTTGTTTTTGGTGGTTTCTTTAGAGTCCTCATATACAATCACCTCAACAGATAGTGCTTCCTCATTTCCTACTCTTGGGTTCAGGCCAGGAACGTGTACCTTGTTCAGTTGCCAAAGTCAAGAAAGCTTGTTCCTTTAACCTTACCATCTCTCATGTTTGAATATACTTCTTTACACCATCCTGGTATAAAAATTATCATCCCATAGAAACTGATACTTTTTTTTTTCTTTAACAGTATCTAAGTTCTGCCCATCCTGTTCATCAAGGTAAAAATTGTGCCACTTGTTCTAAGAGGAAGGGTTCTACCATCCTCACAAAAGTGATATGTGAGCATATATCTGATGAGGCTCATGAATCTGCACACAGAAACACAAGTATATCTGTCTAAAATGCTATCTCAATTGTCACATATAACCTACCTATCTGTTCAGTGCATGAACGAGACAGAAATAAAGGTAACTAATACGTACATCACCCAGCTTAAGGCAGGTGCCCAGACTGTGAATGACATCCTCTGCCAAGTCTGAGTGGTCTGAGTCCCAAACCAGCCCAATTGTGATAATCTGTGGTGCATTCATCAACACACGGCGGATCCGGATTCTCTCTCCACAGTTGCTCTGAAATACAAACACAGCACTAGTTCAGACATTCCCACCTGCTCTGCAGCAATGCTACAAGCCAAGGTTGTTCTCCTTATCCTAAATTCCATAGTGTTAACTCACCGGACAGTTCCGCAGGTCCCCCATGGTGCTGGCATTCTGAAGTAGCTCACCAAACATACTTGGTGAAGGTTTCTCTCGCTTTTCCAGCATACAAATAGCCTGGTTACTTCAAGATGGGGAAAGGAGGAAGGCAATGGTAGTAAATGTTATTCCAAGTGATGGCTAAACTAAAAATAAAATCATTCATACAAACTCACTTCCTTCCTTAAGACAGAGCCTCATTGTGTAGCTCTCTCTGGCTGTCTTGGAACTTGCTATGTAGACCAATCAGTCTGGCCTCCAAAACAGAGATGCACCAGCCTCTGCCTCCAAAGGGCTGGGATTAAAGGTGTAGTATCTGTGATTTTTTTTTTTCCATTTGCCCTGTCCTGACTAGTCTCAGGGTTCTACAAACACAGTCCCCAAATCCAAAACCCTCAGAAGTCCCATTTCTCTTTGTACTTGCTAACCACAAATAAGCCTACAAATTCTGAAGTTTTATAATACAGCACAAATTCAGCAATAAGGATATAGGCTATTTGGTGGCCTTCAGTTAAAACCCAATCAATTGGAGGAATGCCTAACAGTACAATAAAGAACTCTGTAAGAATGGGCTGGAAAAATGGTTCAAGTAACAGTTAAAAGCAGTGACTATTCTTGTAGAGGACCCAGGTTCAGTTCCTAGCACCACATGTCAGCTCATGGCTATCTATAACCCCCCCACCCCCCAAGAAAAGAACTGCATAAAACTCACCAAAGGGAAGTAGTAGAGATGTAATGCACCATCTGGATGAAAGGCAGTGGGTCAGAAGTGGCGCCACAGCTAGTACATACACACTGGGCCAGAGGGAAAAAGTGAAACTAAGCAGCCAGTCATGAATTGTTTTGAAACTCTACAGCCTCAGATAAAATATTCTTAAAGAAAAAGCCCAAGATACAGGTTTACCTGCTCAAACAATGTCATTGCAAATTTCTGGTGGGAAATGCAGTGTTGGGCAGTACATATATCCTCTTTGGTTTCGTCCGCAATATGGAAGTGAATTCTCATCAGGAGGTTTTCCTGACAGAAAAACACATAAGCACTACACTTAAATCCCAAACTAGCAAGGAGAGAAGCAACTTACCAAGACACAGCAACCTTCCTGGAAAGCAGAAATATCTCTAAATATTTTTAATATTTTTTAAAGGATAGACAGATAAATGACAGATAGATGAAATTAATATAATCCATAGATCATTCATATTTTAACAGTTTTATATGAACTTGTGTTTATATGTAACTTAATGCAATTTCATCATATATAGTCAGTAACTACTTCCACAGTCAAGACACAAGAGTGGAGCAGGAAGATGGCTCAGTGGTTAAGAGTACATGATGCTCTTCCAGAGGACCTACCTGGGTTTGATTCCCAGCACCCACAAAGTAGCTTACAACTGCCTGTAACTCCAGTTCCAGGGACTCTGATGTTCTCTTCTGATTTCTGTGGCCATCAAACATGCATGCAAGCAAAACACTCCACATATGTAAGTTTAAAATAAATCTTTTTATAAAAAGACACAGAAGAGTTTCATCACCACAGCGCTCCTCCACCCTACCTCTTTATAGCCTCACCTATCTGCCTATACTCCTAACTCCCAGCAGTAGCCTGCTCCTCCATATTTATCATTTTTGTCATTTCAACAATACTAAAGAATATTATAAAAATGGTACCACATACCACATAACTTTTTTTTTTTTTTTTTTGGAACAGGGTCTCCTGTGTCCTAGGCTAACTCTGAATTCATTATGTAGACTGAATGACCCTGAACTTCTGATGTTCCTGTTTCCGTTTCATGAGTGCTGGAATCCTAAGTGTGTATCAATCACTATGCCCAATTTATACATTAGGGATTAGACTCAAGGATACAAGGACATTAAGCAAGTACTCTTACCAACTGAGCTACATCCTCAATCCCAGTAAAGAAGCATTTGATATTATATTTTCATTCAATAGTAATCCTCTACAACCCCCTTTTTGATTTTTGAGATAGGACTCCAGTCCTACAAGGACTTTACTGCAAGACCCAATCTCAAAAAGAAATAAACAGAAAAATAAACTCACTATGAAAACTAGCCAGTGACCCCATCTCTCTATATTCTGTTCTATTTATCCAACTTCAAAAGATTATCTATGGCACTCTGTGTGTTGGCACATGCATTTAGCACTTGGAAGGTGGGAGGATAAGGATTAAAGTCACTAGAGCAATGTAACTGCTTATACAGAACATGACAGTTTCCCTTTAATATCGTTAGAAACAGAAAAGCTCAAAATATGGGTTCTCCAAAGCAGTACCACCATTACAGCATGGAGTCTTACACCAGATTATTGAATCAGAGGCTCTGGGAGTACAATTTGCACTTCAACATGCCTTGGTTTCTCTAAAGGTAAAAAGTCACTGTTTTATGCAATGAAAAGCATTAAACTACCCTAAACCTGAAGGAAAAAAGTCATAAAGCCACTAGACAATTCATGTTGTAGTAGTAGACTCTGGAACTCTGAGACAGTTGAGAAAGTCCCAGTTCCTATGCAGAGACCAGGACATAGTAAATGCCATCATCATATATCAGTCCTTGATGGAGATGAACCATTCTACTCCATATCAAAGAGGACAAGAAGGTCCACTTACAAAGCATTCGGCAGCATCATCCATAATCCCCAGCTGGAACCGTTGCTCATCCTGGAAAGTCTTGGCCAGAGCACTGCGGAGAGTGTCAGAAGGAAGCACTTTTTCACTACTACACTGAAACTGGTTGAAGATGCCCTGTAGGGAAGAAGTTAAACAAGAGAACAAGCACAATGCTGTTATTAAGCTTCTGTACATCCTAGTCTGTCATCCTTATGCTGACAGTCATGGAAACAAGATATATTCACCTAGTAATTTAAAAAATAGACTAAAATCAGGATGTGTAGAGTATCTCTGCCGTAGATCTTGCATCTGAGTGTCATGCTGTTAAGAACACACTAAGAGAGCCCACTGTCATGATGTGATGTAATGCAGTTACAATACTTCCTATGATACAGAAAAGAAGTAGATGCTTCTGGAAGTAAGCTACATCCAAATGAATTGGCAATTGTTCTTTGGGAAGCATCCTCCTATGAAACTTAGCCCTCTTTTGTACTTTTCAGATAAGATTCACAAACTTATAAAGAACATACCAAGTCAGGTATTGTGTCCATAATCCCAGCACCTAAAAGGCTGAGGCAGAAAGGTCAAGATTTTGAAGCCATTTGGATGTGGCAGTGCACATCTTTAGACTTCACTCACCACACATAGTCCTTCAGTAATACAAGAAGAAAAAGGAAGAAGAAAAAAACAAAGAAGGAGGAAGAAGAGGATGAAGGAGAAGAGGAGAAGAAGAAACAACAATAGAAAACTCTGGTTGTCATTCCCCACACCCCACACCCAGAAAAAAGCACTCTGTCATGTTTACTTCCAGTTACTGCCTTGTAATTCATAGGCCAAAAACCTTGAAAATCCTGAACCAATCTCTCCTAGTCTCAGAACTCACATCCTGTATCATACCTCTACACTCAGGACGTGTTCAGACTTCATACTGCTCACCTCCTCATCTGTGGGCCACTGTCCTCTTCATTGGATGATTGGTTTTGTTTTTGTTTTTTTTAGGTTTTTTCTTTTTTTTTTTCTTTTTTTTTTTTTTTTTTTTTTTTCTTTTTTCAAGACAGGGTTTCTCTGAATAGCCTTGGCTGTCCTGGAACTCACTCTGTAGACCAGGCTGGCCTGGAACTCAGAAATCCGCCTGCCTCTGCCTCCCAAGTGCCAGGATTAAAGGTGTGCGCCACCACTGCCCAGCTAAGATTTATTTTTATTTTTTTTTATTATGCTTGAGCATGGGTATGTCCATGATATACAGTGGAGGGCAAAGGTTTTAGAAGCTTGAAGTTGGAGTTATAGACAGTTGTAAAGCACCTGAAATAGGTTCAGGGAACTAACTGAACCTGGATCCTCTAGAAGAACCACTGAACTATCTTTTCAACCCAACTGCAACCATTTCTTGACTGAACCATGTCACCAAGGAAATGCAAGACATGTTCAAAATGGTAGTCAAATAATTTTTTTTAATGAAATAAAATTAGTTGATAGAGAGCTTGCCTAACATGCACAAAATCCTTGGTTAGTTAGACCCTCAGCATTTCACATATCAGGTATAGTAGGCAGCACATACCTATAATGCCAACCCTCCAGATATATAGGCAGGAGGATCAGAAACTCAAGGTAATCCTTGGCTAAATAGCAAGTTTAAGGTCAGATTAGGCTACTTAAGACTGCCTCAAAAAAAAAAAAAGTAGTAGAATCAAATGTCATTCTTCTGTTAAAAACCCTCCAAAGGTTTCCCATCAAATATGCAGTAAAAGCCAAAGTGAAAATGCTATCTGTTATTCGGCCAACTAGTCTAATTGTGATTCACCACCGCAGCCATATGGGCCTCTCACTATGTTCCACAACTATTATCAAGTTCTAGACCAGGGACTTTGTACTTGCATTCCTTACTTGAATCACCTTTTCTCTCACTGTGAAACTTTTTTCACTTATATCCTGCAAAATTTTATGTAAATATCACTTCTCAGTACAGTAGCAACTTTAGATCAACGTACTTAAATTGCCAGCTCTATACTGTGCATGCACACCTTTAATCCCAGCACCCTGGAGGGAGAGGCAGGCAGATCCCTAAGTCTGGGCCAGCCTGGTCTAAAGAGTGAGTTCCATCCATGGGGCTGGAGAGATAGCGCGGGGGTTTGAGTGCACTGGCTGCTCTTTTGGAGAACTTGGATTCAATTCCCAGCACCCAAATGGCAGCACCTAACTCTCTGTAGCTCCAATTTCAGAGGGTCTGGGACCTTCACAAACATATATGCAGGCAAACTACCAATGCACATAAAACAAAAATAAATCTTTTAAAAAAGAAGAGAAAGAGGAGGAGGAAAGGGAAGAGGAAAAGGGAGAAAGTGAGTTCCAGGGCAGCCAGAGTCTACACAAAGAAATCCTAACTTGAAAAATAGAAAAGAAAGAAAGACAGAAAGAAAAAAACACAAGCCGGGCAGTGGTGGCGCACGCCTTTAATCCCAGCACTTGGGAGGCAGAGGCAGGCGGATTTCTGAGTTCGAGGCCAGCCTGGTCTACAGAGTGAGTTCCAGGACAGCCAGGGCTACACAGAGAAACCCTGTCTCGAAAAAACCAAAAAAAAAAAAAAAAAAAAAAAAACACAAGCCCTCCTTTCTATTCCTAAATCTCCACCATTGTCTATTTTTTCCTATAGTATTTAATATTAACATATTGTTTATTTTAGTTATTGTCTACCTCTATTTCCTAGAGTATAGAAATGAGGAAAAAAATAAGTTTTACTCTTTTGCTTGATATGCTCTTATGGCAACACTGCTATATAAAAAGCAACAGAAATGTATGTTTTAAGTAACTGAATCAATCAATCATGTGATACGGGTAGATCTCATGAAAGAAGAATATTAAAGGAACTTTCTCCTCTCTCCTTAAAAAAAAAAATACAGAAAATTAGACTAGAGAGATGGCTCAGCAGTTAAGAGCACTGGCTGCTTTTCCAGAGCACTTAGGTTCAATTCCCAGCATCTACATGGCAGCTCACAGCTGTCTGTAACTCCAGTTCAAGAGTTTCTGACAACCCTCACACAGACATACATGCAGGCAAAACACCAATAAACATAAATTAAAAATAAACTATAAGAAAAGACCGAAATCACACAGAAAAACTGAAAGCCCTGAGGTAATATAAACTGTTAAGGAAATGGAGCTCAGTTTGGCTCTGCTCATTTTGAAATTAAAACTGTTTTCCTCATTTCACCCTCTCACTGGCATCTTTTCTGTTCATCCATGTTAAATATTCTAAAGCCACTCAAGTACAAACTACCATGTAACTTATTATGTTCCTACAAATGATTCCATATGTTGTGGAGGAGATAGGGCCAACAATACATACTCAGTATTAATTAATAAATTCTGAGGAAAGTCTACTGTAATTATTCCAAGTTATTTTGGACCAGTTTAGGATCTACTTGCATCTCTACTATAAAGCTAGGAGAAGCCGTGGCAAGCTGCTCTATAATTTGTTATTGAATAATAAGCATGCCTACTAGAAAGCATTTAAACTGGACCAAGGGAAGACCTAGGTCTGCAGTTTAACAAAGGGATACCTATCCTATAGACTGAAAATTTGTAGGAATGCAGAGAAACAAGGGAAAAGAAAAAGGAGAAAGCAATGACAACTACTACAAATCACATGGTGTCTTGGGCCTGACAGCTGGTGATTTCAAAAAAATAAATAAATAAATAAATAAATTCCAGCCTGGCAAGACTTGTGATCACCAGCTGGCTCATCTCAGCTGTTACTAATAAGGCACAGTGCTGACAAAACTCCACCTCCAGACTAAAGGGCCAGTGAGGTTAGAGCTTTTGTTTGGGGTCTAAACTGGTTTGCATGCCTGCCTGTGTGCAGGCACACATGGGCATGTGGAGGTCAGAGGTCTGACATCATCCTCAATTGCTTTCCATATTAGTTTTTATTGAGGCAGGGCCTCTCACTGAACCTGGATCTCACAGATTCAGTTAGACAACCCAGCAAACCCCCAGGAATCCTCCTGTGTCAGCCTCCACTGCACTGGGATTACAGGCACTTACGCCCATGACTGGCTTTTTATGAGGGTGCTGGGACCCCAAACTCAGCCTCTCCTGCTTAAGCAGCAAGCAATTTACCAACTGAGCTATCTCCCAAGCTTCCAAAACTAATTCTAAAATAGCTAGGAAATTATTTCTAGGAGAACTCTGTACAAATTAGACATTTGCAAATGTCAACCCCTTTTAGTCTTGGTTGAGTTCCTTGGAAATTAAGCCCTTCTATTCCTAAAGCAATCCTACTGAAATTACATTCTGTCCAATGCATGGCAGAAACTGTACAGCAACCTTAGGAAACTACAGTAAGCCATTTGGGCCCTGATTTGGTGGCTAGTATGTATAATCCTAGTACTCTAGAAGCTGGTATAGGAAGAATGCCATTAATTTGAGGCCAGCCTGGACCACAAAGCAAAGACCCTGTCTCCAAAATACATAAATAAATTTAAAAAGAAAAGGGGAAGAAAAAAAAAGAAAAGCAGGTTTCCCATGACTTCAAGTAATTAGGGTTTGGGTACAGAAAGAAAAGGCCTAAGCCTGGCAGTGGTGGTGCAGGCCTTTGATCCCAGCACTTGGGAGGCAGAGGCAGGCGGATTTCTGAGTTCAAGGCCAGCCTGGTCTACACAGTGAGTTCCAGGACAGCCAGGGCTACACAGAGAAACCCTGTCTCAAAAAAAGAAAGAAAGAAAGAGAGAGGGGGGGGGGGGGCAGGCCTGAGGTCAGAGCTCTGCCTGCACCCAGTGGATGGACAACAACAGATCTGGCTCTGGTATCCAGTAGCATCAATGTCTCTATGCTGTACTCTTCTCTCATCCCTTAATTAATCATAGGCAGCCTTCCCCCATCCACTTTGACTGAATCGTCTTTATTTTCTTACTTTAATTAACATCAGTCTTGCTCTGCTCTTGCTAGGAAGAACTGCATTAGGGATGAGCAGCGTAAGCCTTCCTAGCTTGCATCTGTGGAGCTGTAACTCTGCAAGATGCTCAAGCACAAAGCCCCTCTGTTAGGGAGCACACTAACCCTTGTGTGTCCCTCTCACATGAGCACAGGGGCTGGAACGGGCCTCCTCCTGTTCTCTTTTTCACCCTCCTCCCACCTTT